TGAACTTTCAATAATTCGAATATCCTTGTGATGTATCTTTATTTATGTTAAACACATTAATTGATAATTAACCTAATTAAGAATCCTTTGAAATGATGGTGTACAGTCAAAGGCTTATTCCACATGGCTGAAATTTATGAAAAAATGTGTATATATGTGCCACATCACTTTTTACATGATGAGCATATATTGGAGATCTTAAGGAACGTTTTAATAATGAAATTGGTGGTGGAAAACGCCAAGTTTGAAATAGAAATTGTGGTAGGAGTGATGAAAACATGAATAAATATCCTAGCGCGAGTCAATTTTATTTTTGAGTTTGGAGTATTCACACTAGCTACTTGATCATTTTTCATATAAAAATGATTGACCAAAATATTGGAATAACCTTAGCTTGTTCATATGATAACAAGGAAAAACTCAGTTCCTGAAGATAATTTATAAGTATTTACCTCCAGCATCATACATCTTGACCATTTCTCAAATTGAATTGGAAATAAAGGTACCTAATGGTTATTATTCTAATCTTAAAAGCATTTTTTAAAATGATGAGTGTCTTTCTCCAGGTCTTAAGTCACACACTCACACCCTAATGCCAAATCCCTTGGCCATTTGAAATATACATGTCATTGTTTTATAGTGTTACCAATAAGCAATGCTATAAAACGGATACTCAATGTTAGACCTGCACAAAAACGGGTTCGGGCCGGGCTCGGGCCGGGCTTTTTATAATTTTTTTGCCCATCATATGTGGGCGGGCCCGGCCCGGCCCGCAAAAACGGGCCTAACCCCATGTCCATACCCGCCCATAAGAGCGGGCCGGGTAGTCCACCGGGCCTCCGGGCCCGGAAAACCTTTATATTTTTCGATTTTTTTTTTAATAATTTAAAACTAATATTACAACATTTAAAAAATTGTTAATATGCGTGTAATGTTTATAGGTCTTTCACCACATACAAAAATAATACTTACACAAAAATAATAATGAGAAACTATATCTAAAATTTAAAATTCAAGCACAAAGTATTATCTTTAAGTACAAAAATAGATACTATATTAGTTGGGCTAGTGGTTCAGATCTAAAAACCTAAATTTAAACATAATAAACTATAAATATGTATAAAGATAAATTATATTAGAAAATATAAATGTACATGTAAATAAATAAATTATATATATATATATATATATATATATATATATATATATATATATATATATTAAATGTAGCGGGCCGGGCTTATCGGCCCGAACGGGCCTACACCCTAACCCAAGCCCGCCCATATGTTATTGCGGGCCGGGCCGGGCCGGGCCCGGTGGGTAAATATATATGCCCAAGCCCGCCCATTTGTGCGGGCCGGTTGGGCGGGCTGGGCGGGCCGGGCCGGTTTTGTGCAGGTCTACTCAATGTATTGTTTTTTAAGAGTTTAAGTGAATCACTTGACAAAATTGACTCTAATCACCAAATCAAAATATATTTTCTTGAAAAGTATGTTTTCCCTACATTGTTTGATATAATGTCCCATCTTGTTTCTCATGTTTGATTATGTAACTATGTTGGATGTATCTTTTATATAGAGAAGTGAGAAATTGTTGAAAGGAGTATATCTAGCTGCAATCATTACCATCATGAGGGGTGTACTAAATGTTACTTTCCTCTTTGGATGTCTCAAACAAATCTACATCAAAACAATGTAAAATTGTGCCAAAACAGTACAAAACAATGTCAAACAGTATCAAACAGTGTCACTACAGTGTACTATACAGTAAAGTTTACTCAGTATGAAGTCAAACTAGGAAGTTAATTAAGAACCGGAGAGAGTATGAAGCAGATGAAGCCCTAAGCTAGAGTTATATACGGAGTATGCGCTAAAAATCTTCCAAACCACCAATCAATTGAATTAGGCCAGTATGCATTGTGATAACCCAATTCAATATCCCGCACGAATAGGAAAAACTAAAATAGTTGGTTGTTCATTACCTAAGCAATTGAATCATACCATTTTGTTTAATAACCCAAAATTTAACTTATAAATCCACCATCTTTTTATAATATGGTTATAGAAGATATACTGAAACAACCTAAGAAAAACTTATATTGAAACAACCTAAGAACCATATCATACCATATAAGCATAATATAAATGATAATAATGTTATACTCCGTATTATATTTTGCTGCGTAATTTTGAAACGAGACATCATGTTTTGTTGATGGCATACAATTGTTGCCACAACTGTCTTGTGAACTATCCTCAAGATGCAGATCAGGCGCGGATCGTAGTAGAGACCCAGGGGGGCAGTCACCCCTCCAACAAAAAAATTAGTGTATATATATACAAAAAAATAATTTTTGCCCTCCCAATTTTTTTTTAAGTTACCGCCCTCCCAAGATAAATTTTTTGGGTCCGCCCCTGATGCAGATAAAAGTACTCAAGATGTTTGAATTAAGGACTGGTCATATCAGAAGGGTATTAATCTAAAACAAGCGTGGTGATAACTACTAGACCTCATCATAGAACCAGCTAGTGAAGGACTATGCTGCTCATGTATTAAGACTCGGAGTTTCATCCTAAATGGTCAACCTGATAGGAAGAGGAGTCCAAAACCTTATATAGTGTGATGGAGTATATGGCCCAGGAACCCCCGGCCCATAGACTCCTACTTCTCCTACACAAGCCCATAGGGCCCAGAGAACAACTCAGGCCCAAATACGGCGGCCCAAACCTCAAAATAGCCCAGAATACACACTGGGGTGCCTTCGGCCTCCTTGGCCGAAGGCTCCAGGACTCACAGGATAGTCTTCTCTGGCGTAAGAAGCTTCTGGGAGAAAACGGCGAAAAAACATGAGCCCTCGGCATCAGAGGAGCCTTCGGCTGAATCAAGCCTTTCGGCCACACAAGACCTTCGGCTACACAGGGGTCCTTGATCACATGGAGCCCTCGGCTACACAAGGAGCCTTCGGCCAAACGTGCTCAATCATCGAGGATTCCTTTTTGAGATAACCAACCACCGCATTTAATGCCACGTCACATCCGCCAACCGCATTCAACGCGATGAACATGCCACTGCCGGTGCCACCCAAGCGATGTGACCCCTCGGCCGTTGGATTGTTGACACGTGTACTCTCATCGCATTTATTGCTGCTATAAATAGCAGCCCATTTCTCCTTGTAAACGATCCACATCCCAACTCTCACACGCTGAGTTCATTTAATAAATCGACTCTCTCTCCTCCTATTTACTCTGACTTCTCCCTAGTTATTCCCGCAATAACCCCTCGGATAAGATACCCCCGGGTAGACTGTCCATCATAGTGTTTTAGGGAAATTGCCCTAAATAGGAGTAAATGAGGTTTGAAATTCTAAAATAGGACTACTATATGTTTTTCTTTTCGAAATAAGAGTTGTTACTGTCATATATGAAAAATACTGTCATGATTGAAAAATACTGTCATTAATTATAATAAATACTGTCATGTTAAATGCACAGTACTTACTGCAACTATTTGCCAGTCATGCCTACAAGATGGCAGTAAATACTGCCATGTTAGTCCTATTTCAGGAAGAAAAACATAACAGTTCCATTTTGAAATTCCAAACTTCATTTACTCCTATTTTGGGAAATCTTCCTGTGTTTTATTGTTTTATAGCTTTCCAGTGTGGGACAAATACTTTAACACGCCCCTCAGCCCGAATCAGGATGGACAATATCGAGATGTATAAATGAGTCAAACAGACCCTTAAAAAGGTACCCTTAATCATGGGTGCTAAGCAAATAGTCAAACCAAAGAACACACTTGACAAATATCTCACTCAAACATTAAAACAATTTCTTTATGTTTAGTAATAAACGAAGTTAGTTCTTAAAAAGAATTTTTTGAAGACGGAAGGATATTTTAAATTAAAATAAACTCCGTACATAATACGAAGTCACATAAGAAGTTATTTTCTGTTAAATCCCACACCGGAAAAGGTTGAATCAACAAAGTGCTATATTAAGACACTCTTAATCACATTCCTTTTACGACTAAGAAAAGTTTATGAGAAATACCTTCTACACGCCAAAAGCCTTACACGTCATTTACATGCTCGGTTTTGTCAATAATATTTTTTCATTCTTAAGGTGAATTGTCTGTGCTATAGACAAATTCAGACATTTTTTTATTTGTGTCGCAGGCAACTCACCTTAGAAAATGAAAAAAAGTTGTCTATGTCAAGACAAAACGAGACGTGTAAATGAATGAGGAGATCCCCTCTACCAAATAACCACTATATATTACTCGCTCTACACGACAGAAAGCTGAGCAAGAAGATGTGAAAAAACTACGTAAGAGAGAGCTTAGAAATAAAAAGGATACTCCATTGGGAAGACTACTCCTTCCGTGTTTAATACTTTGATCCCAGAATTAATTCAGTTTGTGTTTAATGTCATTTCATACAATGCATTGGATCTCCACCTACTTGAGGTAAAGTGGGGACTTTGTGACAGAGTCTAGAGATCGACATTGTTCAAAGAATCAAAATACAAGTTTTCATTCAAAAAGTTTAATTTTGATGACAAATTGTGTTTTGAAATCAGAGGACTCGTTTGGAATATTTAATCCCTCTTGAGTGAAGAGATTTTTTAATTACACCATACACAACTTAATTACCCCACTTGTGTAACTCTACACGGAAAGAATTATGGAAGTGTTAACTACTAAAGTACTATTCCGTATGACCATAATTAGCACAAGTTCTAAAAGCTAGATTATACTCATTGTTGCAGAAAAAAAGGTCTCGGATCCATGTATTATTCCCATTCACTATATATACTTGATATAGAGACTAATAAATAAAAAACATCATCTTAATATACAATTTTTATCCAGTAGCAGACGTAGTTGCTGCTCTAGGCCAGCGTTTATAATTAACTAAGTAACCCCTAGGATAATAATTTGTATATATATATATATATATATATATATATATATATATATATATATATATATAGTTCAAACCCTAAGATATATATGGAAAGGTAAAAAGTAAACTATGATAGAAGTTGTTTGGAAGACATATATACACACACATAACACATTGCATATATATTTGCATATATGTAATTTGGTGTTGTATATATGACTTCAAAACAACTCAGCTGTTTCACCTAAGGGCATACCCAAGTCAACTCCCATTCTCATCATCAATTCATCTTGTGCTTGAACATTGCATGCTGCATCATCAAAGAGCCATTTTTCCAGCAAGGTCAGGGGCATTTGTGTCTCAGCACCGCTGCTCATCGGCTTCGCTCCGGGTTGGAAGGGCGGTACCACCGGCGTGAAGTTCGGCTTACTCTCCACCTGCAAAACGCTGCCGTTTTCGTCGATGGCTGACATAGCTTGGGACACGACGTCCGAGTTGTTGCACGAGTTGAAGCTGAAGATTGAGTGATCAAAGTTGCCCTCACTCGGGCTAGAGCTCGAACCGGCCATCCCGGTCTGGGTTGTGACCGTCTCCGAGTTGGACCGGGCTGGGGATGCATTGTTCCGGCCCGAGTTTTTCATCCAGTTCCCCAGCAGCCTGGCAATGTTTTCAGTGCTTGAGGCGTAGGGGGCGGTCAGCGGGGCCCGCGGGTTAGCCGCTTGGTTCGTTGATTCGGCCGCGGCCTTGGATTTGTCAATGGATAAAGCCTCACAGAGGGCTTGTTTGGCCATTTGGATATCAGTTTGGAGCCTTCTCTCCCATTGCCCCTTTGAGATTGCTTGGTGAGAAGATGATGAGGAATTGTTGTTATTGCAGTAATCTTGGGTGTTCTCGTTCTCATCTACGCCTTGGTTCTTTTTGAGCTTTTTCTTCAGATGGGTATTCCAGTAATTCTTTATGTCATTGTCTGTCCTTTGAGGAAGGTATGAAGCTATTGCTGCCCATCTAATCCATAACAAACAAAAGTGTCAAAAACTTCTAATACAAATTTGGACTTGCCCTATCCCATGGCATAACTTAATGATAAATATGGCTTCTAATCAAATAATATAATATTCTCTTAAATAGGAGTAAAAGAAACGTGAAATTTGAAAATAAAAGTATTACATAGTAGTACATTTTTTCCTATGTCATTAATATTTTCATTTTAATCAATGCCTTGGTAAATATGTGAGTTTTAAACATATATTAAGAAAAATAAAATATAAAGAGATACTAGTATGTTTTATAAATCTAGTCTATAAAAAATAACAAAAAGTAAGATGTGTTCACAAAAAATGTTTGTGGAGCATTATTTAGGAAATTATTCATATATATTTGGACAATCCAAATTAAAAAGTGTATCTTAAAATTAAATGAGACGGAGATGGATCGGATATATATATAGCATTATATATGTATGTATAATATGTGACTCATTATATTATTTTGTAAATTTTATTTATGACAATTAATGACGCACCATCTCACCATGAGATTTAATTTAATGCCATGACAAGAACTCATGACGCACCATTTCACCGTGAAATGTTAATTTAATGCTCTCGTGTCAAACATGATATACTTATTGATCTAAGTATTTTATTTATCTCTTCTTAATCTAAGATAAATATAAGTACTAATCTACTACGCAGCCTTAATAAGTTTGGAGACTTGGAGTTGATTATTATTACTCTATATGTCCCATTTTATCTGTCTTCCTATTTCGTTTGGATTGTCCCAAAATAAGTGTCATATTTTCTTCTTTGGATGAGAACGAAATAAAAGAGTATTATATTGAGAAAATTCCTTATGTAAAAGAAAAACTATCATTGTTTTATTTCTAAAATATGATTTATTTACTCCTAAAAGGTGAAGATTATAATTTTAACAGAATCAAATGAGTCCTGTTTCGGGAATAAAATACATGTAGTCCTATTTATGCATTTTTGTCTAAATTTTAATCATATCGATCTAGAGAAATTTTCTATATTATATTATAGTAATGATGTTTGTACTCACCATTATACTCACTTTTTATACCTACCATGTTTGTGAGGTTTTTTAATCTGTGAGTCCCGTTCACAAACAATATTTTGTTTGTGCACAATTTGCACAGACAAACTAACACATGTTTTGCATGTGAACTGTATTCACAAACAAAAAAACATTTACAAACATGATGAGTATAAGAGTGAGTACATCAAAGATCATTGATTATATTAGGGAAAATTCCCAAAATAGGACGAAAACAGTTTGAAAATTTCAAAATAGGATTGCCATGTTTTTTATTCCCAAAATAGAGGTAATTACTGCTAAGTTTGGAAAATACTATCATGTTTGAAGTCTGATACTGCAAAAACATGACAGTAATTAGTTTTATTTTGGGAATAAAAACATGACAGTCCTATTTTAAATTTTCAAACGTTTTTAATCGAGTAAAGGGTCAGTTTGGTCCTCGAAGTTGCAAAAAAGGCGTCAAATAAGTCCTTATATAGAAGATTCTGTCCGGACGTACCATTTGAGGTGGCTCCCGGTGGAATTTTGTGATAAATTTTTTTGAGCATCTTATTCATTAAGTCTAGTTTACTCATACCAAATTTCAGCTAAAAATTCAATCGGGAAGACATTCAAATGAATTCTTGAAGATAACAGCGCTTTTAACGGCACAGTTATCTTCAAGAATTCATTTGAATGTCTTCCCGATTGAATTTTTAGCTGAAATTTAGTATGAGTAAACTAGACTTAATGAATAAGATGCTCAAAAAACTTTATCAAAAAATTCTACCGGGAGTCACCTCAAATGGCACGTCCGGACATAATCTTCTACTCCCTCCGTCCCAAAATGGTTGGCCAATGTTGACTTGCACGTGGATTAATAAAGTAAAAACTGTGTGGTTGAAATTTGTGCAGAGGAGAGAGAATTAACTTTTGCCACATATTCCTTACTTTAAATGGAAATGGCCAACCTTTTTGGGACGGCCAAAAAAGGAAATTTGGCCAACCATTTTGGGACGGAGGGAGTATATAATGACTTATTTGACCCCTTTTTTGCAACTTCGAGGACCAAACTAACCCTTATCCCATTTATAATCCTATTGGATAATATTCTCATTATATTAATATTGAACTAGTAGAACATGGTTCTCTTTCATTCTTATCTCATCATCATGAAACCGTTCCCTAAAAGACGTAGGTGTATAAGAATTGACTTTTGATCAACCATAAATGCATAAGGATTGACGTAATCCACCTTGAATGCATATGAATTGACATAATCAACCTTATATTGTGTTCGAGCGAGTCTAGAATAATAATTGAGTTTTTAAATTTTTTTCAACAAATAATGATTGTGATTAAGGATGTTTTCTTTTGGACTGTTTTCAGTCCCAGACCAGACCAGACCAGACTTAAACAGACCAGACCAGACCAGACTAGATTTAAACAGACCAGACCAGACCAGACCAGACTTAAACAGACCAGACCAGACCAGACCAGACTTCCGTAGTTATAAAATACACAGAGACCAGACGTTTACCAGACCTGACCAGACCAGTTCAGACCAGACCAGACCAGACCAGACTTAAACAGACCAGACCAGACCAGACCAGACTTAAACAGACCAGACCAGACCAGACCAGCAAATTTCAGTCCAAAAGAAAACATCCTAAGAGCGAAGTGTTAATTAATATACGGAGTAATTGATATGTTTTCACTTTCTTCGCAAAAAAGGATGACACCCCATCCCTGAGGGCCCCCCAACACCGTCACTTTCTTCGCTGCTAATAATTACGGAGTATCATATACAACAAAAAACATCTTCAATAATTGTTTTTATACAGTACTATACAGTCCTATAACCCTAGCCAGATCTGGAGATACTTTCATGGAGTTTAATTACATCTTGCAAAATTTTGCCGTATGTCTTTGTGTAATTATTACTATAGTGAATGAGGAAAATAATGTCTTATACCAATACTGTTGATCTTGGACACAAAAACATTATGAGCCCGTTTGGAGAACTCTGTTTTCGGCTTATCAGGCTTATCTGCCAGCTTTTTCACCAAACACGTAACTTTTACTTTCGCGCGCTGGATTGTGTAATAAGCCGAAAAAGTAAGGTTGAAGTTACTTTTCTGGCTGTATTGGCTGAAGTTACTGTAGAGGACCATTTTAGCTATTTTTACATATAATTTTTTCTTTAATTTATTAATAAAATATATTTTTATAATATTTTTTTCTTAAATCAGCAGAATCAGCCAAAACAGCCACTCCAGCCAGAATATCATAAATTTCAGCAGAATCAGCCAAAACAGCCTATTTTGGTGCTACCAAACGGGCTCTATATCTAGACCTAATTACAACTAGAACTAGACAATTACTAATAACTAAAGACCATTTGGCAACAAATTATACGGAGTATATTTTTGCTATTTCTGTTTTATTAGGATGTTTTTATTTAGATTTATTTCAATCACAGACCAGATTAAATATATTGGACCAGACCTCGACATTCGAAACATACTAGAGACCAGACAATTTTGAGACCAGATCAGACTAGACTTAAATAGCTCATATCAGACCTGACCTCGACAATTGTAATATGCCAAAGACCAGACAAGTATCAAACCAGACCAGATTTAAATGGATAATCACATCAGAAAACTCAAGCACACATAAAAAACATCCTAAGAGCCCAATCAATTAAGGATTTTTGTGTTTACTGACCTATTCCCAAGAAGTGCCTGGAGATGAATGATCATCTTCTCTTCTTGTTCAGTGAAGTTCCCTCGCTTGATTCCTGGACGGAGGTAATTAGTCCAACGGAGCCGGCAGCTTTTGCTGCACCGAAGCAAACCTGCATGAAGTAAACAAAAAGCATCCCAAAAATCAATTAATGATTTTTTTCTGGTAAAAAGAAAATCAAAATAGAAAGATTATTAAAGAACATGATAAGACTATATCCTATCATCTTTATTTTAAATTTTGGTTGTCCTTCCACTTGGCCTGATAAAGAAGTAAGTAGTTGGGTGAGTAATAAGTGCCAGTTTTAATGAACCGAACCTACCAGAAACCCTAAAAGAAAAAAAGCACCCATAAAGCATGAAATAACTTGAAATTAATAATACTCTTTAATTTCCGTCTAAATGATGAAGGGATAATTCCGATTCAAGATACTAATTTCCTCCTTTTGATGTTTAATTTAAAAGTTGTACTAATTAAGTTGCAAAAATCAAATTCAAATATCATACTATTATACTTAGTATATAGAGTTGAAATTTGATTGTGAGAAAACAAAACAATTAAATTAAAGTACATATAACTTTATTGTGATCTACTGAATAATTACAAAAACATGTAAAGTGGAAGAGATAATTAATAGAATAAATAATTACCAGTATTAGTAGGAACAGATCTCCAATTGCCAGGACCATGTTCTTGAATATAAGAAACCAAAATGATATCCTCTTCAGGAGTCCATGGCCCTTTCTTCACACCAATTTTATCACAACATGGAGGCCTTCCCATTTCTCGATAAACCCTCTCTTTCAAGCTATTTCTAGAAAGAAAGAGTTCACTAATTAAGGACTGAAATTTCTATATTTTTCTAGCTACCTTCTTATCTGATTGTTGCTCTTTCTCTTCTCTTGTTTAGAGAGAAATGGTTTGACTTGCGTAAAAGGCATGGGGGAACTTGTCTAGGCATATACATATATAGGGAAGAGAGAGAGGAATGGTTCTTTTTTATTTTTGATAAGAGTGGAACGGTTCTTTATAATGGCCAGGTTGGGGAAATTAAAGATTAAGATGGTAAAAATTAAAAAGTGTATTTTTAGATAGATTTGCAATTTTGGTCCTGTAATCTTCGACTATTATCGTTATTGTTCATGAAACTTTCATGATTTGCAAATTTGGTCCTGTGACTAATAAATCTTTACGATTTAAGGACCTTTTTATCGGAAAATATACTTTTCGGCAGAAAAATCCGACGCCGGTGAAATTTTCCCCGGTATACTATCGCTGGAAAATGTATTTTTCCGAAAAAAGTCCTGAAATCATAAATATTAATTATTTACATGACCAAATTTGCAAGTGACTAAAGTCACGGGACTAATGGAAAAGGTCAAAAGTTATGGGATGAAAATTGCAAATTTTCCATATTTTTATTACTATATATATTTACATGCTAAAGATAATAAAGAGGAAATGAATTTGGAAAAACTAGTGCTTATCAACTAAAAACAGTGTTATTTGAACTTGCAAATTATATTTAATTATTGACAGTCGAACTCTATAAATAGAAATTAGTGCAAACTTATTCTTAGAAAAGTAACCTCGGTATCGTGAAATACTCATATGATCGTCAGAGACGATGTTTGATTTTAATTAACTAGAATGTTCTTAACCTATATATGGACGATAGCTGGTAGTATAAATTTCGGTCCACAAGCAAAAGCATGTTTAAGACCGCATAATTTAATTTCTTGCGGAGTATAAAAATATGTTTATATTTTTTTTGAAGTTTTTTCTAAAATCGTATTAATAAAAAAATTATGGAAAAAATGTAACCATAAGTTGCTATGTGTAAATTTTATAACCATTATGATATAGTCATTAAAGTTATCACGGTCACATTTATTATTTTTTTATTTCGATTTTATATTTGGTCTAACTTAATATTTTTTTTAGAATATATTATAATACGGAGTACTTTGTTTATGAAATATATTTTCTGAAGTTAGAATTATTTTTTTCTGGAGCAAATAGTAGTAATATTTAATTAAAGTCTTTTTTCCCACTTGAAAAATAAATACTTAAGATAAATTTAGAACCAATGATTTGTTACATAATATTAGCTGTCCCAAAAAATAAAAATTACTTGAAGTTTTATACAAGAGGTTTGATGTCTTTTGCTAGAATTTTTATGAAGTTCAAGGTATGAACAAAATTTGATAAAAATTAGTACGATTATACGAAGTTGAACATATATCCATAATCACTAATCACTAAAATGATCGCTTTATGTTAAATGTCAAAATGATATCCACAATCATATCCATTATACTTTTAATTATATGTTGTATCATTATTTTATCACATACGTAAATATATATAAATATATATGTGTGTGTCTATATTCACTAAGATAATTCTTGAATATAAATATGACATTTATAAGATTTATTTTTTCTTCTAATATGACATTTTTCTTCTTGAAGATAATTTCTTTCACTGTATGTTTAAAGTTACAAAAATACAATACGGAGTACTATTTTTACTTACCCCTACAAATGGAGCCTCTTTTAATTGTGGAGGTTAGATGGGAAGTTAGAGTTAATATTTTTTCAAGGAACGTATATTTTTGAAATTTAATAAAATAATAATAATAACAAAAACGTTTACTCAGTGCATGTTTAGCATAAGTTACTGACTGCTTTTGTACTATTTAAAAAGTATTTAAAAACTTCTAATTGCATGTTATGTGTGCTACTCTCTCCCTCCCATTAACAACAGGACAAGAGGGAGTGACACACAAATCTATAAAAAGTGGTTTATGTGGTTGATATTAGATTGATAAAGTAACAATGAAGTAAGAATGATTTAGAGCCACACAAATTTTACCAAATAAGGTATGCGACAACCTTAGTGGAACGGACCAAAATGGTAAAATGAGACAATCTTAGCGGGACGGTGGTAGTAATATTTAAGAAGATTTTAAAAATAAAAGATCTCTTTTGAGATGTTACAGTGAATAGCTTGTGAGAAAAGTTTGTAACTTTTAGCATTAATTAGTTCCAATAGCTTGTTTGCCATACAAAACTAAGAGGCCGTTTGACAGCACTGTTTTTCGGCTTATCAGGCTTTTCAGCCAACTTTTTCACCAAACATGTAACGTTTGCTTTCGCGCACTGAATTGTGTAATATAAGCAGAAAAGTAAGGTTAGAGTTACTTTTCTGGCTGTATTGGCTGAAGTTACACTAGATGACCATTTTAGCTATTTTTACATATAATTTTTTCTTTATTTTGTTAATAAAATATATTTTAAAATTAATTTTTTCTTAAATCAGGAGAATCAGCTGATGCAGCCACTTCAGCCAGAACTTCATAAATTTTAGCAGAATCAGCCAAATCAGTCGATTTTCATGCTACCAAACAGGTTCTAAATGAAACAGTCAGTTTTTTTATCAAACAGTTATCAACTTTTACTTTTAATATCTTTTCAATCACTAAAAACCAGTGGTGGAGCCAAACATTTAGGGTTAAAGGGGCCGGTCCTAAACAATTTTACATTGAAGGGGCCAAAGTTTAAAATATCAACATACTTTCTACAGATTAAAAGTATTTATACATAATATATACTTAAGATTTTTTTTTCTTGCGGGGGCCGTGGCCACCGCCAGCCCCTCCCTGTCTCCACCCCTGCTAAAAACTAATTATCAAAAATCTCGTAAAAGTGTCTTTTCAGCTCATAAATGCATAAAATGTAAAAGAATGTATAAACAACAAATTTTAATTAGGAAGTATATCAAATTAATTAAGTTTACCTAATAGGACATACGGAATACGATAGTACTCCCTCCGTCCCGAAAAGGTTGGCCAATGTTGACTTTCACGCGGATTAATAAAGTAAAAATTGTGTGGTTGAAATTTGTGCAGAAGAGAGAGAATTAACTTTAGCCACATATTCTTTACTTTAAATGAAAATGATAAATATTTTTGGAACATCCAAAAGAAATTGGACCAACCTTTTCGGAACGGAGAGAGTATATCTGTATATGTCAAGCTATTGTGAAAAGATTATACTCCGTACGGAAGTTGTTTCTCAAAGTCCTACTATAGCACTGTAATACACGTGAGGGTGTGATCGAGACAACAAGTTGTAGTGCTCTCACAATTTTATACGAAGTACATAATTTTCTAATTCACCACAACAAAAACTGAAAAAGGCGTAAATGCTAATTATGAGGTAATATTATAAACAAAAATTAAAAACTGTAATACTCCGTATCGAAAAAAGGTAATTGAAAATAGCATTTCAAGTTCATTTATCAAAATATATCAGAATCACATTCGGTTTGTGAAAAGGGGCCACTCATTAAAAAAATAATTAAAAATGAAAAAGTCAATGCAGGACAGCAAAGAGCATTTACTCCCCGTTTTTGTGCATTGCTTTTGTGAGCTCTTTTAATTTGATTATCTCCACCTCACTAATGTAAACCGCGTGGCATTCAATGCCCCCAATGTATAATTTTTATTATTAGAAAAATTGACGATAATAGCTTAATTAGTACGTAGTATAACATTACCTCAATCTACTAAGTTCAATTATCCAAATTGTAAATTTCAGATTTTTGTTATAAACATAAACTATGAACTTATTAATTAATGACTTTAATGAAATGCTCTAGTGATACGGAGTATTACTAAGCTTTCGGATTATATAAACATCATGATGGATAATCTACCCGGGGGGTATCTTATCCGAGGGGTTATTGCGGGAATAACTAGAGAGAAGTCAGAGCAAAATAGGAGGAGAGAGAGTCGATTTTATTAAATGAACTCGGGATGTGGAGCTGAGATGTAGGTTGTCGATTACAAGGAGAAATGGGCTGCTATTTATAGCAGCAATAAATGCGATGAGAGGACACGTGTCAGTAATCCAACGGCCGAAGGGTCACATCAGCCTAGTGGCACCGGCAGTGGTACGTCAACCGCATTGAATGCGGTTGGCGGATGCGACGTGGCATTAAATGCGGTGGTTGGCTGTCTCTAAAAGGAATCTTCGATGATTGAGCTAGTTCAGCCGTAGGCTTCTTGCGTAGCCGAGGGCCCCTTGTGTAGCCGAAGGCTTGGTTGAGCCGAGGGATTCCCCTGGTGCCGAGGGCTCCATAGTGCCGAGGGCTCCATAGTGCCGAGGGCTCCTGTTTTCTGTCAATTTCTCCCAGTAGCTTCGCATGGTCGAATATGGCGGTTCTGTGAGTTCTGGAGCCTTCGGCCAAGGAGGCATCCCTGTGTGTACCGTGGCCTTCTTGACGCTTGGGCCGCCGAATCTTGGGCCTCCTGAGCTCCTTGAGCTTGTTGGGCTTGTGATAGATTAGTGGGAGTCTTTGGGCCGGGGGTTCCTGGGCCATATACTCCATCAGGAGTCCCTCACTCCTTTTGCCGAAAGGTACTTGAGGGAAAAGGAGTAGATGTGATGATTCTTCCGGGGGCTTCATCGCCTGTCTGGGTGCCTTTGTTTGAGAACTTGTCTTCTGTTGATTGCCGAAGGCTTCCCTCAGTCCCTCACATGTCGAGGGTTTTCTGAGGGAAGGTACTCGTAACCTTCGTATGTTCGCCGGGGGCTCCCCCTCAGTCCCTCACACGTCGAGGGTTTTCTGAGGAAAGCATAGATGTCTTGTCTGCATGTATTGTGATGTTTGCCCGGAGGCCGTATGCGTCCATTGTAAATTGTTGCATGAAGAATTTTTTGTTGTGTATGATCCCCGAGGGGTGTATCCCAGTCCCCCACTCCTTTAGGCCGAAGGCAAGTTCGGGCTGAAGGAGTTATAATAAGTCGATGAGAACTCGAGGGGTGATAGTTCTGACAAGTCGGGGGCTTATGCTGCCGCAAGCTCGAAGGCGTTTGATGAAATTTGCTGGCAGAAGGGTGTGGTGAGCGATAGCCGGAGGCTACCACTCGGGGGCACCCCTAGTGTAACCAAAATATAGTCGTTGTAATATAGC